GAGGACCTGGCTCAATTCCTGACGGGGAAAACAAGGAGGGCCCAAGAGGCCAGGAGACATTGGCCGGGTCTTACGGCGTACAGCCTTCAGCGCATTTGCCGGGCGCTGCGGATGCGGAAGTGTTGACGGCCGCTTTGCTGGTTTCGGAGCTGCAGTCGCCACTGGCGGCTCAGCTGACGACGACGGCAGCGATGGCGGCGGTGGCGGCGACGACAGCAGTTACTTCGCAGGGCAGTGAGGACGTCCACGCCTCCAGCGAACGTGGATCTTCGCGGGCCGCCGCCGCCACCGCCACCGCCGCCGGCGCCGCCGTGAGCCCGGGGGGCTCTGGGCCGCAAGGGGCTCCGGTTAGCGGAGGACCTTCGGCGACCCGCGGACTTCCCACGAGGGGGACCACACCCTTAGGCGCCGCCACCGCCGCCGACGGCGGCAGCGGCGGCGGAACCATTAAGGGAAATAGGGGCATAAGCGGGAGCTTGTTTGCCAACCGGGCGACCCGTGGGTCATCTATGCAAGAGACGACCGCACGGGAGCCGCCAGCCTCGGGATCCCAGCTAACGTGTCACGGGAGCTTCACGGCGTTGCTGTTGCAGTGTCACCTGGAGCCAACTCCGCCGCCGCCGCCGGCGGTGGGTACAGCAAGTACGGCAGGTACGGCTTTGACGACTTCCGTTGTGTCTGCAGCGGGATGGCGCACGCCGCCGCCGGGCGCCGCGGCACCGTTGACAACAAAGTGGTCAGCTGGTGGCGGCGGCGGCGGTGGCGGCAGCGGCACAAGGCTGTTGTCGTATCGGCCTTCCCAGCTGACGGGAGCTGCAGCGTTGGCCGCCGAGGCCGCGCCGACGACGGCAGCTGGGCATTTGACCCAGGCCGCCGCTTCACCGATCCATGGGACGACACCGGCGAATGACAGGGCCGTGTCCCCTGTGTCTGGGGCCGCCGCCACCTCTGCACCGTACGGAAACGGCCGCGCCGACGATGCCGATGATGGAGCAGGGCCAGTAGCAGTAGCAGTGGGGGGTGTGGGTGTGGGTGAGGAGTTGCTACTGCGGTCGGACGATTCGGAAGTGGACTTTGGGGGCACCTCTGAAGACGTGGACATTGACGCGGCTGTCTCTCAGATGACGTTGAGGTTTCGGAGCAGCGGCAGCTAGGGTGCTGAGGATGGGCACGTCAGGCCAAGACCCCCCGTTCTAGAGCGGTGGATGTGCACGGGGGCCGAGAGGTATTACTTGGCTGTTTGTCTTGTTTGCCTTAGTGTGGGTGCGGCTACAGGGAGAAGGGGGAATATCTCGCGGTGAGCCAATATGGTTGTTGGGACCGTTGGGACGAGCTCTGAATTGAGGACATGGGGGGAAGGGTCGCCGTACACTGTGTATCCACGGTTTCTTCGCAGGAGGGGGAATGAGGAGGACATCATTATGCTTTGTTTGGGGGTTTGATTTGCGAATCTGTGGAAGGGGCGGACAGGGAAGGAAGGAGGGCAATCTAGAGATGTATGCAGCGGCTTAGCATTAAGGAAATATGACGTCGTTGGAGCCAGAGAGCGTCAATTTCTGACCCCTCCGCACCGACCGCACATTTTCATCTGCTTTACCAACAACCACTGCTACCCCTTATGTTTAGATGTTCACTCCATGACGAGGACGAACAGTCTACCTTAGGGTTAACAGTCGTGCGCTCTACCGACTGAGCTAACCGAGCAGATGTCTATTCATCATAAAGAAACAAATTTTGCATAAATGGTACGGTATGGTATGGTATTGGTCCGTGCCGTACCGTACGACATCACCGACAGACAGTGTGTACCGTACCGTACGACAGGTACTACACAATACGATAAACCCTGCATTCAGTTGCATGCATGTAACATTTCAGCAAGTATCTTCAAACGTGGTCTATCGCCGTATTGGTCGAGTTGGCCATCATGCCAGCACATCTCCTCACATCTCCGGTTTTGCTCCTCACGCGGGTTTGTCGATACGATCGTCTTGCAGATGCATTGCCTCGCCTGTTGCCAAATCATGGGGGATGGTCGGCCAGCGACTGTGACTGCGATGACTACAGTGCCCGTTCACTTGCACAGTTGTTTTTGTAAGGGGGTACAGCGCTTCTGCTGTGTGCTGTCGTTGATCTACTCTGGCCATGGATCTTAGGGTTTTAGGGGAGAGCCTTGGATTATTTCTCCTGGTCTCTGATAGTGGACGGGTTCCTCTACCTCCCCCATCCCCGATGTTTGTGGACTGTCATCTGGAATTTGAAGTCGAGGAAATCCATGGATAGCCATGTGGTAAAAAGCAAGGGTGGCAAACCCACTGCGTGTGGTGCCAAGCAGTTCTGACTCCTTCGGCGATAAGGCTGGCTGCCAGGGCCCTGCGATAACTCCCATTCCTGCCCCGTCATCCAAGGGCAACCAGGGCAAAGCCCCCGGGAAATCCCGGGATGGAGACCTTTCAGGGTCGAAAGATCCTTCCGATGGTGGAAGGCATTGCGCCCCTAGTTGATGGACGGTGGTGACCTGGGATAAAGTTGACCTGCGAGCCGACCAGGAGTTGGGCCGCTGTCGACCCGGCAGATTCCGTTGGATGCTGGTGGTGGGTGCGGAACCTGAGCGATCCACTGAGAAGTTGACTAGGGTGACTGGATGAGGGTGCCCCGAAATACCGGGGAAGGCAGGGTTTCGCAGGGTAGCTGCCACGGGCGAAGATACACCCCCCTGTTTCACACATCATACATACATACACAAGTCGGCAATCGCTAAGGAAAGGGTTCTTCCTGAGCCACCTGTGGGTGAGATTACTCCTGTCGTTACTCCTGCTCCTGCTCCTGCTCCTGCTCCTGCTCCTGCTCCTTCTCCTGCTCCTAGGGTGCGAGCTACTCCTCCCGGCCGCCTGGTGACCACCTCCTGCCCTGACACTCCTCCTCACTCTCCGCTACAATCCGCTCGTCAGCGAGGCAATATCTGCTTCACTCTCACGCTGTCACCACCTGTGGCGCCGGAATTGGAGCTATAGATCTGTCGAGGAGGGGCAGACTTTCAGAGGGGCAGAACGTTATGTGCATATTCCGCTATTTGCGACAGCGTGACTAACATAGGATTATTATTGCGTGTTACGCGTAAGCGGAACAGCTCCTGGCGTACTATCGTACCGCCGCCTCCCGTACCCGTACGTGGGAATATCCGTCCCCCTCAGCTAGATCCGAGCAGGCGGACGTCTGGCGGTCGATAGCCAACTGGCCAACACATCGTATAAATGGTAACGCTTATAAATTGTTCATGGCTATCTCAATTCTTACCTCCTTACTAGTGGAAGCCTCTGAGTAGCTGACAGCTCACGGCCGGGCAACGAACAGCGGCAAAGGACCCTCATGCGCTGTCGCCGCAGAGCAGCTTCTTCCCGCAGACAGCACTTATGGGTGACCGATTTCCAACTCCTGCATAGGGGCCCCAAGCGAAGAACGGAAAAACCTTTTCTGTTATGATTAGCATAGTAGGCAGGGCATTCTCGCAACACGTCCCTTTGTTATCCACTATCAGGTCGTCGGTGAGAACGCGGCGACAGACACGTTGCCAGTGAGGGGTGTGTGGGGGGAGGGGGGAGGGGGAGCAGGAGGGCGGCATTGGGAAGGGGGAAGGGGGAAAGGGAAAGCGCGATGGCTACCGGAGCTGTGTGACAAGAAGGGGTGGGGCTGCACTCCCCGAGTATGCATAAAAATGCAACCTGCTGAATCAATCCCTCCATGCAATGTGACGATTTGACCGATGATGAAACGTGTACGACATGTACGAACTACTGGCTAAGTGTGTCCGCCAGTTCGCGTTTCCATGGTACCATGTCCTTCCTTCGCGCGAATTGTTTGTCTCAGGTCCTGTAGCTTAGCTCGCGTCAAGCCAAGACTCTCGGTGCGCCCCTAGCTGAACCCGGATACCTTCGTGCTAGCTTTTAGCAAACCAAGCGAATCATGCTCGTCAGCCGTTAGGGTGCAATTGTTACAATTTTGGCCTCATCTCGCGAAGTTCGCTTTGGGTCGCATCGGTGGGATCACACGCAGAACGTTTGGTGCTTCGCACATTTCTTGCCTTCCACGCATGCACCTGCAGCTTAAATTATGTGCCACGATGGTATGCATTGATGGATAGGAGGGCTTACGAACATGCACAGATAACCCTGTCTTGTTAGGAGCTAGGGAGGCGCCAGTAAGTAGAGTCTGAGCGTTGCAGTTTCAGGTACATACGACACAGTAATACAGTGGTGTAGTACAGTATCCTATGCAAGGAAATCACAGCCAGTAGTGCTGCCCAGGTTGCCGGGCCGTCTCATCGCAAGGCAGAAGAGGTTGTAGCAATACATGAGGAGGTGGTAAAGCCAAGCCATATACTTTATAATATCTTTACCTTTGGAAGCCGTCTGAACTGCGAGCTTATCACCTCGTTCCTTAAAATCCCTACTTACGTAACTTATGAAAGGGCCTGTGAAATCGCGAAATCCAATAAGTCCTTGTGCAGTCGGTTTGGCTCACGGTTTCTGGATCCAAATGCACGGCGGGAAACCAAAAGAGAGTTGCTGCGCTTGACTAAACTGAAGAGCTATACCTGTCGCTATAGATCGATAAGTTTTTCTGTGTCATGTACCATTCTTGGAAGATAATGCACTAGGAGTCGATGCTGCCTATGGTACCTTCATGCATTGTCGCTGAAACCCATGACAAACAGAACAGCTTATAATGAATTGGGAGGTCAGGCTTCGGCAACAATATGCGATAGCAGTCAGGCCCGAATGGCTGGAACAAGTCATGACGCAGCTGCACGCGGCGCACCCCGACTTTCCAACCTGGCCAGAGGACCGTGTATTCGAGAAACTTTTCACAGCGTTCTTATTTTGCGATTTGAACCAGGCTGGGGCTGCAGCGTTGCCTGCCAATACCAAGGTGACTTCGCATCCGCAAGAGCAGAAAAGCTATCCCTAGTAACGCAGCAGTAGGAAACATGGCTACAGGAGATGCACAAGGAGGTCTTGAAGGGCAAGTTTGTGCTGCAACTAGACGAAGTCATCAACATGGCCGCGGCAGCCCGGGAAAGGTGTGTTGTATCCTCACGACGCCCTGCACTTGTGAACCCCATCAACCCCCCCTGTTGACAACGTCTCCTGGATGCCGCCCTCAAGCGCGCTGCCCGCTTCCAGCCCCAACCTGTGCACACCTCACGCGGTCACCTGCCCTCCTCCCCACCAACGGCCATGCGCTTCCCGCAGGTACACGGATCAGTCAGGGAACCGCTGTCTCAAGTTTGCCTTGACAGATGGTGAGGCGCTGTTTCGGGCATACAGGGGCATACAGGAATATGATGCCGTCACCCAGCGTTTCAACCCCTTACCACACACCATGCTACAACGGGCAGACGCTTTCCTTGCTGCTTGTCGCTGATGGGACGGTCTTCAAGAAGCAGGGGGTTATATCTGCAACTGCCTTTGCGTCTCCTGCGAGGCCATCACCATCACCACCACCACCACCATCATCATCATCATCATCACCATTAGCATCACCATTACCATCACCATTGGCATCATCACCACCCTACTATCACCACCATCATAACCACCACCGTCAGGGCCACCAAGTGTCCGCATGCACACACGATCGTACTCTACATAACGGACCCCCCCTGCGTGCCTACCCCCTCCCTGCTCCTTGCCAACAGCTCGGGGACACTGTTTCCCCCCCTCCTGTTCCATCTTTGGAATGACGTGACATGGACAAAACCCGCAACCCAACTCCTGAGACCCGCACACGCCTTTATCAACACGCCTCTCCCAATAACCCATTCCAGAAGGCGACATCCCTCTGATCATTTCCCCCCACCTTTCATCAATTCACGACTCATTACAAAACTGCATACATACATACATACATACATACTTTTAAACTACGAAACTACATCTATCCGTACATATCCACTTACTCATTCTCGTCAGTCCATATCCATTTTTACCCTCTTCTCCCGCCCGCTTTTCCTTTCCGTACCCTTCCCGTCGCCCCTCTGATTACCCTTCCCATTTTCCATTCCATCGCCGCTTGGAGATGTTAAAAGTTAACAGCTGGTGATGGAATATAAAACTTACCTCGCGTAATGCGTAAGGGCTCCCTGGTCGGGTACCCGCACTTGCCCACCCTTCTTGCCCCCCACAACAGGGTGCCAACAGGTGGTCGGTGTGGAGCACGCGCACCTGCCCGCCTTCGCTTGGGACTGTCCAGCCGGCACGAAGGTGGGTCCTTACAAGGGGGGGGAGGGTGGGTGGGCATCCAAGCATCAAAGATCGGCAAACGCGTGGGGTACTAGGGAAAGCCACCTGTTAGAATGAAGGATTTACACACAGAAGGGGTTTGGAAGCAGGGTTTGTGTGGCGCTGTGGCGGGACGTGAATGCGGGGCTCCGGTGATTAGGTGTGACAAGGTGGGGATAGCATGACTGGCATATCACGCGAATGTCGAGAAGACGCACCGACGGCATTACCGCGCTGTATCGCGCCTCGGTGGTTTGCCTAACGGACCGACTGTTGGTGGGTCGCTTTGTATCCGCAAATACAAATCCCCGCACATCACATCACTAACTAAAATGCACACAGAAACACACAAGATCAATTTTTGGTTTCCTACCCGCAGGTGATCATTCACAACGTCCCCATTCGCCGTGGGTTGCTGCTCCTGGGCCCAGACAACACGGCTCTCCTGGGAGGGCAGGTGGAGCGGCTGGAGGCGGCCCGGCAACGAGCCGTGGCGGCGTGGACGAAACCTGTTGGTGGGTGGGCCTCTGGCGCATGTGCTGCCTCCATGCCCCCATCACCATGCGACACTGCATGAGTTGGGATGTGGTATGTGTGTCTGTCTGTCTGTCTGTCTGTCTGCACCCGGCAATGTAAGACCGCCACGTTAGAAGACTCTGCGGGGGCCCCCGCCCAATCGACCTCTCGCGTCATACACAGCTTATCTCCATGCGCCAATTTCGCATCTATTAAAAAATATATGTGTATCTTCATAACCTCTCACCTTCATACCCCTACGTGCAGTGGGTCGGCCAGCGGGCTCAGCTGCGCGGGACATATTTGCGGAGGCGCGTCAGGCGGCCTGGGCTCCTGGAGCCCCTACCGGTGCCGCTGCTCAGCAGCCCACAGGGGGCCCCCAGGCCGGGGTGGAGACGGCTGGCGCTGCTGCTGGGGCGCAGGGGGGGAACCCGCAGCAGCAGGCTCCTCCTCCAGCGGCGGCGGCGGCGCTGTTCATGGTTCCAGCTGGGGGCCCCCCTGCTGGGGCTGGGGCTGGCGGTGGTGGCGGCACAGCGGGCGCTGCCCTTCCAGCACAGCCCCAGCACCCGATGCACCTCCAGCAGCAACAACAGCAAACGGCAAGCAACGCTGTTGTCCGCGGGCCAGTGCCTGGAGCAGGAGGCCCGGGCATGGCGACTGCTGCAGCGGCAGGACCTGCCTTGCAGCACCCTCAGGGGAACCCACAAACCCCCCACAACTTCCAACCACCACCACCACCACCACCACAACAGCAGCAACAGGGCTGGCAGCAACAACAGCAACAGCAACAGGACCGACAGGAGCAATGGCCGACGCAGCCTCGGGGTTCGACGCCGTGGACCCAAGCTGTAGCAATACCAACAGCAGCAGCAGCGCCGCCGCCGCCAGCAACAGCTTGGCTGGGTCGGTCCACCGACGCTACCCACCCGCATGCACACGCAAACAGACCAGCTGCCTCATTTGGGGTTCTGACTACAGCCGCCGCCGCCGCTGGCAGCAGCAGGACTGCTGGTGGCGGCGGCGCTGCCGCCGTCCGGGCCGTTCGCGAAGATGGCGGTGGCTACGATGTAAGGACAGCCGCCGCCGCCGCTGTTGCTGTTCGCGGGGAACAGGGTGACAGCAGCGCCTACGCGATGGAGGTCATGACCATCAGCGACTCGGGTTCCGGAGAGTCCCCGCCGCGGGCTTCAATCAATCAGCAGCTCCAGGGCCCGGGGGACGGCATCAACCCACACGCCGTCTCCGTACCGCCTCCGCAGAACCAACATCAGCACCCATTCGCCAATGACCCACCACCGCCGCTGCCACCACCACAGCAGCAGCAGCGTGAGCTGGATCTTCTTCCCCGCCGGCGGCTGGCATCAGCAGCAGCAGCATCTCGTCTCGTTGGGTCTGCCGTTTCGGGCGGATCTGCTGCCGTCGCCGCCGCTGTGGTGCCTCCGGGCCCGTCCATGACGTCCTCGTCGTCTTCCGGCTTCCTGTTACCGCCCCGCGCCGCAGTCACCAACACCCCCACACACGGACACAACAGGATTCCCCTTCCTACAGCCACAGCTGCCGCCGCCGCTGCAGCCGGCGGCGGCTCATCGGCGGGTGTGTACGGCGCCGGAGCTGGCGCCGTCGGGAGCGTCGCGTCCCGCAAGCCGGCGTTACCATTGGCCCGAAGCAGCCCGGGGCCAACTGTGTCTTCGCTCGGATCCGCCGGCCGCAGTGGTGGTGGCGGCGGAGTTGGCGGCTCAATAGCGGCGGCTCATAGCCCAACCAAGAGCGTCTCGGTGCTAGGATGTGGGGCGGTGCATCGGCGGGCTGAGGGTGAGGGAAGGGCCTGGGGACATGAGGTCGTAGGTGCAGGTGCTGGAGTTGGAGTTGGTAATGGCGGCCGTGGCGGGTCCCGGCGCCTGTCGTTGGATGTGGAAATGGTGGATTTGGCGGCCCTCGATGATGGTGACGGTGACGGTGATGACGGCGATGGTGATGATGATGACCACGGTGGCGGCTATGTTGGCAATAATGGTGGTGGTGGTGATGGCAATGGGGCTGGCGGCGCAGGCTGCACAATCGCTAGGGGAGGGCCAGGGACCAGTGAGGCGGTGGAGCAGCAGCAGCAGCACCACCATCAACATCATCACCAGGCGCAGGGTGATGTGGCGGACGCAATGGCTGGCAGGGCAGGCAAGCGCCCGCGGCTGTCAGCTGGGCAGCAAGGGGCTGGTTTGTCGGGACCTGCAACGACCCGGGCCGTGGAGGACGGACGTGGAGGCGGCGAGGGCAACAGCGGGTGGTGCGGGGTTTCTGCAACTGAGGTGGTTCCGGAGACACTAATATCAGACTGGGACTTTCTTGACGCCGACACAGCTGCGGCGTCAGGGGCGGCGGCGGCGGTGGCGCAGCCGCACCGTGTGCAGTGCGCACCTGGGGCGGCGGCGCCCGGGGCAGTCAACGGTAGCCGCCTTGGTGGCGCGATTCACCCAGGAGCCCCGGGTGTAGGTGCATGGTCTTGGCAATGTGGGGCGGTGGCTGCCGCCACCGGACACGGCAGCAGCGGCGGCGGGGAGGAGCAGGCTGCCGCAGACGATTGCGACGGGATGGTTGAAGGTCATCATAGCCGGGACCTGCCGCCGCAGCCGCTGGCGGCGGCGGCGGCGGCCCCGGATGGGAGCTTCTTTAAAGGCCCCGAGCAGGACGGCTACACTCACGCCCAGGCCCAGCCCCCGCCCCAGCCTGCCAACCACGCCGGCGCGGTGTTGCTGTGCCAGGTTCCTGACATCCTGCAGCCCGAACCTGACTCTGACACCCCCGTCACGTTCCCTGTGACGCTGGACGTGTACGGCCTGTTTCACGCGCTGGAAGGCACCCATGCAATTATTGAGGACGGTACGGCGATTGTGGAGGCGGAGTTTGCTGACGGTGCGCTGGCAACAATTCTCGGTGAGTCAGACCTTAACTAACTCTTTCAGCGGTGCAGGCAGTGGCAGTGGTGAGGGGTTGGGAAAGTGAAATGAGAGGCTGGCGGCGCGATGGCGTCATTAGTGGGCCCTCGTGCTGTCATGGGGCCCTCGTGCTGTCATGGGGCCCTCGAGCCACTGGAGCCTCTGCGCTGTGGCCGGCATGTGTGTGTGGTTTGAGAGGGTCGTTGTTTAAGCGCTCTACTCCACGTAGGAGACCTCTCCTGGTCTGAGCTCACTAAGATATGTATAACACCATGAAGCATTTCCTCTCTTACGAAATGGCGGACTGACATCGCAATTGACAATCCCCGCAAAAAAAACGTGGGTGAATCCAGGCCAGGTACGCAGGGTCTTGAAGAAAAGCGGACTATGAGCTAGTTTCTGATTTGAGCTGATCCCTACCACACCGCCCGCTCCCAATCCAATGTCTTATTTCTTATGTCACGCAGCCGGTGTGACGGCGCCGGGTGGTTTCAGCCCAGGAGCGCCGATCGGGCTCGAGGAGCTTCAGGCCATGGCCGACAGCCCAGACCCAGCCGTACAAGCGCATGGGCAGGAGCTAGCCTTGCGCGTCATGGAGTTCATCCGCGATTTTTCTGGCATGATCCGGCTTGAGTACCGAAGCCCGTTGCCGACGCAGCCGCCCCTTATTATTCAGTTGACGAACGATGGTGACGGTGGGAATGGAGGCGACAGACCGGGGGGGCCTAACACGTCGCGGGATGTTGTTACAGCTGCGGACGACGCCACCGCCGGACAACGCGGTCGGCAAGCAGACGGTGACAGTTGCCAACTGTATGAGGAATTCTTGCAGGGTGTTGGGGTGTTGGACGCGAGTGGAGATGGCGACATGTAGAGGGCACAAAGGTGCTGGGTTTGGGGGAGGATGAACACCACGATGACGGGGAACCGACGCATTTTCGTTGGGTTTTAGGGTGCTGGGGTGTGGGGTGGGATTTTCATATCATTGTAGCGGCAGCTTGGAAAGAAGATTGTCAAGTTCTACAACGCGCAGCCGCAATGATGTGTGTGCGTGTCTGAGGCAAGGGCTTACCGAGGTCAGGGTGTGCATGCATGACGTTCCCGTTACCGCCATCACCTCGAGACCAAAGCCATCACTCGTCTACGTTGTCGCACAATTTCTTGAACTGTCGATTTTGCTAACTACATGGCTATGGCTATGTGCTGACGAAAAAGACGCTTGCATAGCTTCGTTAACTCTACTGTTATATAGCACGGAATGCATGCTCGGCTGTTATTTTTAAAAAGGGTTGTCAGGCTTGCCGATCTCTCTGCCGATCTGCCCCCTGCCAACCACCATCGCACATCCGCCTGTCATTGTACGCGGCTTAGCTCCATACCGACAGAACTGCACCGACAAATCCCAAGCCGGACTGTGTAAACGCGTGTTAAATGCTACCCGCATTTCTAGGTCGTTCCAAAGCGTTGTCTGACCTGATCCTCCCTTCCTAAGCATACTAGTGAAAAATCGCTGCTGAAGGGCGCAGGTGCGGGTTTCACCGACGCCATACCTCCCACTTTCATTCCAGCTGATCTCTCACCTTTTCGCAACCACTCTCCCCCAACCACGCCTCGACCACTCATAATCCAGCATACCCCTCAACGGGCCCCACTAGAAAAAGCACCATGAACGACAAAACCACGACCACGATGCCATTCCCCCGTGATTAACGTGATTAACAAAAGCCCAAGCCGCCTTTCGCAGCAAACATTTCAAGGCATGCAGTTGCCTCTCGCACAAGCCCAACACCATCCATTGGGAAGGCTAGCACAACCGTACAAGGACTATCGCAGTGCTAAAGGATATCAAGGGGCACAATATCGACAGCTTCGAAGGAAAACGTCGCCACTCCTTCAGCAAAAATCGGGGTTCCAGGACGATGAGGGGCCCGGAAGGAAAAACCCGACAGCAAAACGGCATCTCCGACGCTGCACCTCCATAGCTGATTGTTCTCAAGCCCACTCAACAAAAACACAAACAACAGAGAGGCACAAGCGCAGGCACAACCGCTCATACATCAGCATCATCCTCAACCGTGTTAGCTCTCATTCGCGTGCATTTGACCTGCGCCTACGATCATGGCTGCTGCTGCCGCTGCATGTCGATGCTACAACCGCATCTTTTGCTCCATAACTAAAACACACGTCAATCTACCGGCGTCCTTTGAGCAAAGACAGCCAATTAAACTTTTAAGCCGCTGATACGGTACATGGCAGGACAGCTCTCAGCATCGCCCCAAACCTGTCTGAGCCGAGCCCGTCCAACCTTTGGGTTTTCCCCAAAAGGGGGGGAAATGGGAAAACCAAAGGGTGTCAGTCACCAGTATATCGGTCCCCGGCCTACACGCCGCGCCTTCAAGCAGCTGGACCAGCACCGACCTGGCAACGCCCTAGCTGACAAAGAGAAGGGAATCGCTCTCATGACACAGACGACAGAGCTGCCTGGCAGCAAAGCTGCGCACAAGATAACCACGCGCTGGACAGGACACGTATCATCCCCCGAAAATAGATTCGTGGGTTTCACATCACATCACCCATGTGCAATAATCTTATACCTTGCAAAATTAAAACAGATGGAGTTGGGACCAACGGAGATCCAGAGTAAGCCGAATTGGTCATACATGTTCCGAGTACAGAAACACAGCGAGGCGCACTCGTGCGGCGCGTCACAACACGAGAGTCATCTGACGCGCCCGGCCAGGCGGGAGCACGGTCCACTGCACTCATCAGATACGTTCGGCCCAGCCAACCCTGCTCTTCCACATTAACAGTATTTGCGAATGGATGTATAAGGCTGGCACATCCCAACATGCAAACCTGGTTCGCCGAAATGCAGCTTCGGTCGCTGTTGCCGGCAGCATGACAAGCACGGCCAAAATTCCTCACACCCGGACCAAGAAGCACACCTGGATTTCAGGCTAGGGCACAAGACCGTGACACGGGGGAAGGGCGCACACTGCAATTCGCCCATCGGCATAACCCCACCATCGCTTCAGCACACCTCTCTTGCACAACCCCACAAGTCGCATACATATACATGAGGCGGTCTCTGAATAACTGCCTGCTGCTGCCGCCGTCGCTCAGTCCTCCTTGCTTTCTGGCAGCGCCAAGCTCGCTCCCACGCCCGCTCCCAGCACCAGGCCCACCACAAGCAGCGAGACGTCGGTCGGAATCTCAATGTCCGCAAAGCCGAGAACCATTTTTGAGCCAATAAATCCCAGCACGATAGCGACTGCCTTGTCCAAGAAGCGGAGCTCACCCATGGCTGTTGCTACGAATGAGTACAGTGCCCGCAGACTGAGAATGGCGAAAACGTTGGACGTATATACGATGAAGGGATCTAGCGTCACGCCGAACACCGCAGGAATTGAGTCCACTGCAAACACGACGTCGCTGAGCTCCACGACAGCCAGCGTCAGCAAGAGTGGTGTTGCCATGCGCGTGCCGTCGCGGACTGTGAAGAAGTTATCGCCGTCGTAAGTATCCGACACTTTAATGAAACGTGAGCAGAATCTGTAGATAAAGTTTTCCGATAGGTCGTCGTCGTCATCGTCAGCGCTGGCGGTGAGAAGCTTAAATGAGGATAATAGGAGGATCCCAGCAAAAATTAGCAGGAGCGGCTCGAACTCCCTTACAAGCTCCACGCCCAGCACGATGAGCACGGCACGCAACACTGCCGCTGTCGCAATGCCCCAAGTCAGCACCTTGCTTTGCGCTTCGACCGGCGTTTTAAGGAAGTTGAAAACCAACACAAACACAAACAAGTTGTCTACGGACAATGACTGCTCCAGTAGATATCCAGCGAAGTATTCCTGTGCCTTCTCCGCGCCCTGCACATACCAAATTCCAGCCCCGAACGCCACTGCCGCGCCTACCCACGCTGCAAGGGCCTCGTAACGCGATTCAGTGCGTGGAAGCACTGTGCTAAGATACTGAAGCTCCTTCTCTTGTTCTACTTGCCGGTTGTCCGATAGGTACCTCTGTTGCTGAACTGGGTCGTCCACCTGGGGAGGCCTCTGCACACAGCGCACAACCGCTGCTGAAAGGCGTGAAAAGGGCACCCGTATGTATGCAGATGAACATCTCCGGAGGGGCACGCTACATCTGTGAAGCGAGAGCTGCGGCTGAGCCAGTGGACAGGGCATCTTGCCGCTCTCGCTCCACCCTGGCCACCCTACTTCTGCCTACTGAACACCAAATGGATCCAACTATCAATCCAATTATCGAGAAAGGTTATCCATGATGCAAAAAACAGACTTTTTCTGGGCGGCAAGGTCCTAAATGGTCTCAATTTCAACCTTCTAAGAGTTTGAGCAAGTCTAACCTGTTGACGATTAATGAATGCACCTCGTAGTAGCGAGTGGGTAAGAGTAAGGGAAACAATTTGGAGATACAGGCATATAAGGCCCTCATTGAGATTAAACATTTACATGGTTAGGGAACAATGTGATCGATTGTCCACCTAGTTTTATTTTCTGAAAAGGCATTCAGGGCTACAGGAAAGTTGCAATTAAAATGAAAAAGGTCGACACGGTGAACGTCAAGAGTCAAGCTTGTCTCGGCCATGTAATTGAGCAGCTAATCTTGACAGGTCGCGTCGAGATGCCTGTAAAAATATCTTTTACCAAACCTAAGTTTGGGCAAGCTTCCCTTGGCGCAAAGCGCAGGTAAGCCATTCCGCAGATCGAGAGCTAACATGGAATCACTAACACAAGCTTGGTCTATTACGAAGGACCGGCGCTTGTGAATTCCTGTTTTCAATCTCCACGAGACGACTCATCAGGCGACCCACGGACCCTCCGTCCCATCCGTGTCTCCATTCTTGACTCCACGTAGCCACAGAACAAAGTTAACCCATGTTCACGCACATAGGCACACGAAAAATCATCGGAACTATCCTGTCCAATTACCATGGCACGCCTCGTCAACCCGCGCTCAGTAAAGGCACCGCGCGTTGCGGGATGCCGCATACCATTCAATAACCTTTTCCTCTCGTTTAGTAATTGGGAAACAGCTCACGAGTCACACGCCCGCTCTCTACCAAGCTACTCTTCCTTGACCTATTTGGTGGGGAAAATGTAAAAAATTCACCAACAATCGTACGCATTAGTCTCGACTTCTTGCGGTAGCAGCGCCTCACATATTTCCGCATCGCCCCAAGGGATCGTCGTCATCCCTCGGCTACAGCGGCCCAGCGGTGAGCACAGCAAGGTGACCGCACCGCAGCTGAAGAGTTCTGAAGCCAACCCGCCAGCTAGGTGAAGGACTCGGCAGCAAGCTAATTTAAAGGCCCAGGAAAAACACGTATTGTTGAGCGATTTCCATGTTTCCATGGTCAGCTGCCGGATCTGGAGCTCCATGGCCTCAGGTGCAAATTGCCATCGCTCGGTTGTGTTTGCTTGCAGCAAGAGGCCAGCTTCCGGGTTATGCAGCGCCTCAGCGCCCTTTATGTGTCAAGCTCGCTCCTACGCGTGCACGTGTGTGTTTCTCCCCCATGGTCATCAAGCTGAACACGTCCCCAATCGTCAGCACATTGAAAATTTATTGCAGTGCAAGGTCAACGACTAGGTCAGCCAACAAATCCTGGCGTCCACCAACCAACCCCGTGACAATCTAGCTCATTTATCCGCGTCTAGAGTGATCAAGCACCCGCGAATTCAGATATCGCAGAACAACAGAGCTTCCAGAGGTCTCTTCCCTCACCGCAGGTATCCGTGGCTGAGTTATTGATGAAGCGAAAGTACCTCCAGCCGCGATTGGTGCGGCCGGCAGCCTGATTGGCGGACAGAAACTGGCTGTGCCCCGAGCCGCGGCGCAGCTTCCGCTTGTACTCGATCGCACTGCCGTTGCCGAGAGGGAGGAGGGCCAGGTGGAACAAAGCCAGGGAGGGCACAGGGTGGAACAAAGCCAGGGAGGGCACAGGGTGGAACAAAGCCAGGGAGGGGGCAGGGTGGAACAAAGCCAGGGAGGGGGCAGGGTGGAACAAAGCCAGGGAGGGGGCCGGGTCGGATCGGGATTAAGTAAAGTTAGATCCGATGAGCTTAAACTACCTAACCTCAGTTTGAGGTACATTGGAGTCAGAGCAAGTCAGAACAGTTGGAATTTGCTGGCCACGCGACATGTTGCCATCTTGCGCAGCCTGGAAGCGGACGGGAGGGCAAATGGTGGCGGATTCGTGCCCTGACACGTATCACGTCCAATCACGTTCACGGTACGCTAAAGCGCATCCGCGAAGGCAACGCAGCGGAGGACGTGCTAGCTCACGGTCAGAGTCCCAACCCCAGCGCCCACGTCGTCACAGTCAAAGCCCTGCGTTACCAGTCCATTGCTGGCTGAATCCTCCAATATCAGAACCCAAATATCCCCTTCTCCCCCTTTCGCTTCCCTTACTTCCACTTCCTTAGTTCCGATCATGGGACGAATCATCACAGATACGACAATGCACATTAATACATACATACTTTTACACGTATGTATCAGTGCAAATGCCGACGGTGTCGCGCAATATAAACCCATGCGTTTGCAGCTCTCAAGGTTCTCCCGGCCGTGACACAAATCTTCCGTTCCCCTGACCCGCAACCAAATGGTCATCAGCCGGCTGCCCGTAAGCCCTGACACATGCGCATTTTCGACACCCACTCCGCGCGGCACATTCTCACTGCCGTACCTCCTGGTGACGTAATGGAATATCGCGATGCGGTTCCAGTGCAATGCGGTTACGACAGCAGGTCTCAGATCCTGCTTGGCGGACAAAGTACGGGCAGGTGGGTGCTAGCTAAGCGTGTACGGCAGCAGCACGGAATGCCGACTCCGACAAGCGGCGTGCATTTGCCGAATGGATTCCAAGACTGACATACATACTAACGTACAAGCCACATTATGGCATATGTTTCGTGCTGAATTCCTCCTTTATTGGTTGTGACAACACACAGTGCAGTGCTTCAGTGATTCTGAGATGACATGGCCCTCCGAAACCTTTGTAACCGTATCAACCGTAAGGAACGGCAACCCTGAGTTATTTCAAAAAATATAATAATCTGGCTTCCGGCTTTAGGACTACGACTGAGAAGAAGTGCGATTGCTTCTTCGATCTAACATTTTGGCAACAACGTAACTTCTCGCCGCGGTTGTGGCGGCAGGCGTCCGAGCACCAGAGGGATGCAAAGATTAGGGATTGGGTTCGGGTACCGGTCAGGCAGGAATTAGGATTCGGAAAGAGGGGCAGGATTAGGATACAAAGTTGAGGCCAGGTTTAGGATGAGGACCCGAGTGTAGGATTAGGATTGGGACCCGGCCCCAGGATTAGGATTGCGACCCGGCCCCAGGATTAGGATTGGGACCCGGCCCCAGGATTAGGATAAATACCTATATCCAGGATTACGAATAGTACACTGGTATTGGATTAAGATTAGGGCACCGCAATGATTGGCAATTTTGGATACTACCTGTCTCACGAGTAGTATCCTGACTATCAAATCCAGCTACCGTTCAGACTGGGTTAGAAAGTTGCTATGCCATGTCATACTAAGTGATGTCGCGTGTGATGTGTGCGCTCATGCTCCTGAACACGGAAGCCATACGCTCCAGGAGCTCCAGCCATGCTTCTGACAGGCGTCTGCTGATCAGTAAAATTGCGATAAAACAATCTGCAAAAATTGACGAGGACGGTCTAGACACGAAGACGTATGGATGGCGTCCGCGCCTCCTCCGGAACCAACTGCACGACATTGAGGGACGCTTCCAATGGCAGTCGCGTGGTATGCGTCCTTATAAAATATTAGTAGGTTAAATGTCGGAAACTTTATGAATAATTTTTCTACTATGCGCACGTGCTAACACTACTGGCTCAACATCATAGGTCGACATCGTGTTACGAGGCATGTCCTGCTTATTGGGTTGTACTTTATAGCTGCGAAAGCCCCTGGTATTTATGGCATTGAAGGTCTCTGCTTCGCTGCCAGTGTGGATGGTGATCCATTGGATCACCTCTCATAGCTACTCCTTCCAAGGACGTGTTTGCTCTGCCTGCTTGTTGTTAATTCTCGGGCTTTGGGCTTTGTATGAATAAGCCTATTGTTATGCGCACATGTTAACATCTTTTGGCTCAATATCATACGTAGACATCGTTTCACGAGGCATGTCCTGCTTATTGGATTGTGCTTCATAGCTGTGAAAGCCCCTGGTATTTATGGCATGGAAGATCTCTGGCGCGCTGCAAATGTGGGTGGTGATCCATTGGATCACCTCTCTCAACGTGCATTTTATCTTCGACCGCCCCACAGTCGCATCTGCAGATGGTTCAATCAAGGTGTTTAGACGCAGTATCCCTGCTTAAACTCTTCGTATGGCACGATACTGCAGAAATGGCCAGGATGCGCAGCTTCGTCAGCCTGCTTTTTATGTTTCAAGTTTTACTTCGTTTGATCATATACCCGCTGTAAAATTGCATTGGTTTTTTTACGCACTTGCATTGCCATCGCCTCGCGCCTGTACGGCACTGTGTGTTTCCGTGTCACGGCACCCTTCTATTAGGATTGGGCCCCCCAGCCAAAATTAAGGTTTTACCGAATCAGTCACACGATAACAGCTCCACGATAAGGATTACGACACGACCAAGAGGATTAGGATTGGGACCCCAGCCTCAGAGTTAGGATTGCGGTCCGGCCCCAGGATTAGGATTGGGACCCCCCCCAGGATTGGGATTGGGACCCGGCCACAGGATTAGGATTAGAACCCCGACCCTAGGATATGGATTAGACCACCACTCTGGATTAGGGATTAGAAGTGGTCCACCCCTGTTGAGATTAGAGGATTGCTGACCGGTACCCACCCCCTGGATTAGAGGATAGGACCACTTTGCACCCCTCTGCGAGCACTCACCATAAATTCCTCGTTAACGTATTTGCACCCCGGCTTCAGCTCGCATAGGTGGGGATTGCAGCCTCGCTGGTAGCACCTGAGTAACGCACAGCAACAAGGTTATTCAATTGTATTCATCGGGGTTGCAACCCTGCTCCTCAGCATTTGACCAGTTGGTAAATTCGGCTAGCTGCCCGGCCATCTAGGCACCCATAAATGGGAACCCGTATCCGTATACTCACTGTCCTGGCCCTTGGCAGTGGCTGTCGTCGTCCCCCGCCTGAGAGAAGGCAAATCAACAAACTCCGTCCCGGCCCCCTTCTTGCGCATAGTTCCCGCCTCCCCGTCGGCTCCCCTTTGTTCGTTCCTGAGCTCGATCCGCATGTACTCCGATTCACCTAACTTAGTCGGATTTGACGTAATTTAAAGATGGACTCGATTTTGTTTTTTTTCCACTTCTTTAATTTTTTTGATTTACGTCCGATCTGCCTTTGATGATAGGTTCAATCTAGATCCAAATCCGAGTTTTTAAATCTGCTCACCATGGACCGTGCTTCGTTCATCCAAGACAACCCGGCTGCTCTACGGTGCTGTCAAAACCACCACGTACTTGGCGGGGTAACCCCCATAATTCCCAGCACGGCTTTAATGGTAAGTGCAACTGCAACAAAGATATAACGCAAAAGTATAAATAAAACATAAGTTCAACACAGAAGTTACATAAGTGCACACGCACACGCACACGCACACGTACACCCACACGCACACGCACACGCACACGCACACGCACACGCACACGCACACGCACACGCACACGCACACGCACACGCACACACACCGGGTGTAGGTGATGCTCTTGGTAAACCCCAGAGGAATCGCTCGGAACTCCGGCCATGTCTGAGGTGGTTCAGGGCAGGGGACAGCGGCAGCAGCAGCAGTATCAGCAGTAGCGGCGGAATGGCCAGGATAGCAGTGGCGGCGGCGCGCGCCGCGGCGGTAGCAGAAGCAGCAGCAATAGTAACGGCCGTGAAGGCGTGTTAATCAGCACACAGCGCACGGGCCCAGCTTGTCAAGACACGGTCAAGGGCGCAGCAGCACGGCAGCCAGGCAGGCTAGCTAGCGGGCGGGTGGGAGGCCGAACGCGGCCAGGGGTTATGGGCAGCGTGAAAAACCAACACGAAAACAGCTTTAAAGGAACTGCCCATTGCGCGTGAGGCAGTGCGGTACTGGGGAATGGAAACAGGGGCAGGAAGCTTCGTGAGCTGGGACGGACCGGCGAAGCCCGGGTGTGCGCGGGGGAGGAACCCTAAAACCATAACAACCCTAAAATCTTTCCATCATGTGGGTAAGATTTCACCCACGTATACGGCAACAAAATCGTACGGAAATTTTGTATTACAGTCGCACGTAAGTACCTGCCTGGAGTGTATGGCCTGGGATGCATCGTGTGTACGACTCCAGTGTGCTGCCGTTGGGACGAGCTACATGTCCCGAGGGCCCGAGCAACTGCCAGTGTACGGTAACGCCCCCGTACGCCTCGAAGGGCGCCAGGAAGGTGGGCAGGTGGGGCCGTGTTTGCGGCGGCTTCGGCGGCTCCTTGAGGATGATGTATTCATCTGGGTCGAGAAGGGCGATGAAAGTGTGGCGGTGGCCAAACATTCTGCAAGGATTCGGAGCGGGGCAGTAGCAGATGCAGCGTGGGGCAAAGTTGCTAAGAGATGCCATCCCCAGACGGGTGGGGCACGTGTTCGGCGGCCGCGTGTGATGGGGGGATCGGCAAGTAGCTCCTGCCGACGCCGGGAGCTCGGGAGCCGCCGCTGCGTCAGAAACGCCAGTACGCAACGAGCATGCGGGCGGCGTTCTCTTCGCTGGCAAAAGCTTTCCCTTAGCTTTCCCGTTTGGATTTTGTTGTACTTTTTGTTAAGGAGGTGATCTGGTGCAAGGCGCACGCACACCCCGTGCCGTACGCCCCATTCTCCCATCTTACCGGTAGCAGTTGTCGTACGCCCATGCCTGTGGTGACAGGAACGTCCGTGTTGACGTATCATACATTTTCTTAAATAACTTTCGATCAATTTTCCATGCGTCTGAGAAATAAAAGAGTTCCACGGTGTTTGACAGGACGTAGTCCTCGAGCACCTTCGCCATCGGCGGCGAGCTCTGATGATCCCATATGTAAAACTTCTCAATGCCGAGCCACAGGTGGTAGCGTATGAATTCTCTAATGTAAAGATGCTCATTTTTTGCAAGAACACATACTGCGATGTATGCATGGGCCGTGGTGCCCTGTCCGCTAATGTAAGGATTCAATGTGTTCGAGGAGGCCACGGAGTCGCCAAGGAGAAACGCAAGAAGGATAACGATAATCTGTAGCCGGCTGTGGTTTTGTGAGACCATGTCAGTTAATGTGAATGAGCGGCCAAACACCATTCGCGGCCCGAAGCATTTCACTGTGCATAACTCAGCAAATTAATAGTTTGAGATTACTGGGTCTAAGGGTAGAAGCATGCAACTAAGTGTAGCGCGTCATGATTGTAGGTCGCGATTCCGCAGAGCGAGCTCGTAATGACTATTATCGGTGCATGATGAATTTAAGAAACACAAAGAATTCGCCGTTGCTTGCACGCACGGCGCCGTGTACTCTGAATGCCTGCTGTGATTGCGGACGTTGCATACGGGACAGTTGGAACTAAGGAAGTCGTCCAAAACGCGAATTTCTCGTATAGCTGTATGTCCCATGTAGTTAATGCTATAAGGTTGTCGGATTCATGCTGTTGTGGAAAGTTTCGGTGAACTTCCCGGTAGTTTACCTTCCAGCTGGAAAACCAAGCTGTTTCTGTGAGCCCAAGTTTTTTTGCCATGTCGAGCTATAAGATCATCTTCTTGGGAGGTGGCAATGCAGCCGGTTATGCAGCTCGCGCATTCGTAGAGAATTGCCTCAAAGCGGGAGAGCTTGCGATTATTACGGAGGAGCCATATGTCGCTTATGAAAGACCTGCTCTTTCAAAGGGGTACCTGCTGGGTGAGTTTGGGCGATGGTGTCTGACGTTATAAACCCTGTGATCTCACCCTATGTCCTCACGGCACGTCGTGTAAACGATTTCCTATCGGTTTCAGCAAGTAATTCAGGTCAAATCTTTATGAGGTCCTGTTACTTGTACACGACGGATCCGCGACAGGTGCTGCACGCCTGCCGGGATTCCACACCTGCGTTGGGGGTGGCGGAGAGCGTCAGGCCCCGGAGTGGTACTCCGAAAAGGGTAAGAAATTTGTGTTGGCCAAATGTCAGTCCACAGAACACGTTCATGCGAAGTGTCATGTGGTGTATATGACACCACGTGGTCATCTGGCGCAACTTTCCCCAACCTATGTCCGGTTCTCCACTCCCATACTCTAGTCCGGTCATAAACCCCTGTTGCGCAACCAAACGCCAGTCTTTTCGTGCATGAAAACTTTCACACATGTGCATTTATGCTCTCAAACCCGCAGGCATTACCTACCTGACCAACAGCAGGGTCGTCAAAGCGGATTTGGCCAACAAGGCTCTCACATTGGCGAGCGGCGAGGTGCTATCGTACGAGAAGCTCATTATCGGTACCGGAGCCAGGGTACGGCATGACGAATGAATTTTGGAAAAGAGATTAAAGGGCCCTAGAAGCCCCAGGGGCCACTTTTAATAGCTATTCGCGGAAATGCGCCCACGGGGTTGGGGAGGGGTTGCTGTTGCTATCTTTGGAGCTATAAAGTGCACCAGGCACATGCTCACCTACAATGTTTTTCTCCTTCTCCCCTGCCTTCTCTGAATCTCGCTTTCTCCGTTCCTCTCTCACTTTTCTATCTTCCATTACCTTGTTTAGTTCTTTACTTACCCTCCCTTTGCTTCTCCGCGTTGGCTCTACGTTTGGCTCTACGGAAACGAACCCCAGCCGACACGGCTGACTGAATTCGGAGTTCCTGGAGCTGACCTGGGCGGCCTCTTCTATCTACGGGACGTGAAGGACGGCGATGTGCTGGTGGCGGCTGTGGCGGCGACCAAGGAGGCCGGCGGCAAGGTGAGCCGCCGGGGGTTTACAGCAGGGAGATTCAATAAGCCCAAAAGTTGGGGAAGCCTTGAAAAACCGCAAACCGGCCTACCCCGTCATTGCCCGCATTCCCGGACCTTGCCTTCCATCTTGTATAATATCGCACACTACCCGCTTCTGATACGCCTCATGCTTCTCATACTTCGCCCATCTTCCTTTGCTCGGCCATCACCTTCTGACTCGCCTTGTTTTCTTCCTCGCCATCTCCTTGTTAACTTATCGCTCCGGCCCCGTTGACCAGTGCACCACGATATATTACATTAGCCCCCACCTGCCGCAGGCTGTGGTGATTGGCGGTGGCTATATCGGAATGGAGGTGGCAGCAGGCCTGTCGTCCAGCGGCCTCAGTGTGACAATGGTGTTTCCAGAGGACAGAATCCTCAGCCGCCTGCTCACGCCGCAGCTGGCGGCCGTGTACGAACGGCTGTACGACGCCAAGGGCATCAAGATGGTTAAGGGAGCAAAAGTGACCGGCTTTGATGGTGTCGATGGCAAGGTGAGCTGGAGGTGTGGTGTAGCTGGGTAGGTGGGTGACTGGGCGAGAGAGTGGGTCGGTAGAAGTATATGATGCAAAATGCAAACAAAATGCAAGAAATGAAAGGTGACCAAATTAGAAAATGAAAAATTGAAAACGGAAAAATAAAAAATGAAAACATGCAAAAATGGAAAAATAACTTTAAAATGACTTAAAAAATGAAAAAATAAAAAATGAAAACAATCGAAAACAATTAATAACAAATCAAAATTGAAGAAATGTAATCCGCCGCTAAAGTCCAAAACACCAACTCGGTTGGGTAGGTTGTTGGATGGGTGGGTGAGGAAACGTATGTAGTTGAGTGTGTGAGTTGACAGCCCCTAATGCATGTCTTTTTAACGTATGTGGATGAGGGGTGGCAAGGGAGGAGGGGGTTGGGTGGAAGTGGGGAGGAAGGACCAAAACATTGCGCAACATGGGACCTTCCTGCAGTCCCCTGGCTGTACTGGTGTCTCATCCCTGCCGTCTCTCACGCGCATCTCTTGTACAACACACCGTTTTCTTTATGAAATCTTTCGACAACAGCAGCTGTCTCCTTTTTACCTATCCTAACTATGTCCTATTTCCTGCACCAACACTGCCATCCTAACTGCCAACCGAACTGCCACCAACTAACCGCAACCAACTGCCAATAACTAACTACCACCAACTATCCGACGCAGGTATCGTGCGTGAGGTTCACGGACGCCTCGGGTTCGCAGCAGAGCCTGGATGCGGGCCTGGTGGTGGTGGGTGTGGGAGCCCGACCCAATGTGGAGCTGTTCCAGGGTACGTGAGTGAGTGCGAATATGTTGTTGTTGTTGGTACAGAGTGAGAGGCTTCCGGACCAATTACACATATTTTGATTGTTATACTTATAGAATAGAACACCATACAGCACCATCCATCATTACCACATTGTACTGCGCCGTACGAACTGCAAGTCCAAGGCGGTTCCCATCCTGCCATCGAGAAAAGCGCTCATCATTATGTCACCCGAACATCCGAAGAGACAGAGGGTTTCAGCAATCGCCACCGATCCAGCGTGTGAATTTCAGTTTATGAACTCAACCCCACATCTCAGCAGCTAGCCAGAAGCTCACGCTGCCGGCAATGTCGGTAGTCTACCCAGGAATCTAATCCAAGCCGCACTTTGCCGGAGTGTCTCCAGATCAAACCAGAGAGGGTATTTGCACCTGTCCATCCCTCCGTATGTTCGTGTGCATGTATACACGTCTTGTGGAATTGAGCTGTGCATGTGCCTAACGGAGAGTGTCAGGACCCGCTAGGTGGTTTCGAAGCACGTACACACATATATACATACATACATACATACATACATACATACATACATACATACATACATACATACATACATACATACATACATACATACATACATACATACATACATACATACATACATACATACATAACCCTACATGCACGCGCTGAGACACATTGGGTAGTCGCTGTACAGTGGTGGGCATTGGATGGCACTGAAAAGGGCTATACGTGATTCATGGGTCCCTTCGCGCGGTTGCGGTGGTGGTTGCAGGTCAGTTGGAGATTGCTGCAGGTGGCATTAAGGTGGATGGACAGATGGCCACCAGGTATGGTGAGGGCGGACCGCGGGATGGAGGGGGATGGAGTGGAGTGTTGGGGGATGGAGGGGGATGGAGTGGAGTGTTGGGGGATGGAGGGGGATGGAGTGGAGTGTTGGGGGATGGAGGGGGATGGAGTGGAATGTTGGGGGATGGAGGGGGATGGAGTGGAGTGTTGGGGGATGGAGGGGGATGGAGTGGAGTGTTGGGGGATGGAGGGGGATGGAGGGGAGTGGAGGGGGATGGAGGGGGATGGAGGGGAGTGGAGGGGGATGGAGGGGGATGGAGGGGGATGCGGGAAAGGGGATGTGTTGGGTTCAGAGCTGGTCCTCAGGTGTTGCATTTGGCCCCCTGCATGGAGGCCTCCCTCTCACTCGTCAATGCTCTGTACTGCGGCAGTTGTTACGTTGACCTTTGCATGTAATGTAACCCCCCCATCCGCCTCCCGCTCCCTGCTCTGCCGCCGCCGTCGTGCGGGGCGTCCCGCAGCGTGCCGGACGTGTATGCAGTGGGTGACGTGGCGGCCTTCCCGCTTACCTCGGTGGCATCAGGGGAGGTGTCGTACGCTCGTCAGGAGCATGTGACGCACTGCAGGTGTGTATTGGGCCCGTGTGGTCCTTCTAAGTCTGGCAGGTTGTGAGTGTCTGGGATGGGGTAGGGTGGGGTGGGAGTTGCCGGTTTGCATGGGTGCTGGTTTTGGGATTCCGTGTTAGCTAGGGTGATAGCTAGGATGTGTCGTACATATGTACCCGTGATGATCCGCCCCAAGTGACTTCTCCCGGGATGTGTGTGTGGAAACAGTTAGAAACAAACCCTAAGCCCCCTCCCCCCACACGGCCTCTGTCCGTAAACGCTCTCGGGTACCCGTCGCCATTTTCTGAACACCAGCTCCATTCCCACCACGTTCCCGACCTCCTTCCCTGCCCTCCCTCTTTTGGGCTTTGGACGCCGGCAGCTCATTTCTTCTTTCCTTGCCATTTATGATGCCCTTCCCCCTGTTTCCTATCGTCACGACGACTCTAGGTTGAGCGCAGCTCAGGCGGCCAAGGCCATTTTGGGTGGGTTCCAGAGCCCCCGGGGTTCCCGCACCAATTACGTATTTGTTATTGTTCCTTTACAGGAAAGCTGTATTCGAAAAATTCCCGCTAATCCATGTTGTGATAATAATTGCAGCAATAGTAGCAGTTCCAGTTTACGAGCTTTTCCTGAAGGGTTTAGTTTTCTGTTCCATGTGCATTTCGTGGCTGGGGCCAGGCAGGAGATGTGGGGGGTAAGTGGCATTAGAGAAATAGGCACGGGCGCGGCGCACAGAGAGGTTTGCTGCTGTATGACACACCGGAGCGTGTGGCCGAAAGACGCCGTACTGGGTGGTGGGGTTTGGTTTCCTATTATCGCTAAATCCGAGCTGGAGAAGAGACTTTCTTTTCAGTCCCCGTGAAGTGAGAAACATTCGAGGTAACTCGACCAGGCGCTCTCCCACTTTCTTATCTTATCCTATCCTATCGTGTTTTGCAGGTCTTTCGCCGCCGCCGTACGACTACCTGCCGTTCTTCTATAGCCGCGTGTTTGCATTGTCGTGGGTGTTTTATGGCGAGGCTCCGGCGGACGCTACCGCAGTGCACTTTGGCGACATGCCGGAGGGTGAGGACTTCAAAAAAACATTGGCAATCATCTTTGGGATGGGGGCGAGGGAGGGAGGGACTCCCAAGGTGCAGGGACAATTGACGTCATGCTGGTGCGCGGATGCGTGTGTGTGTGTGTGTGTGTGTGTCTGTATGTGTGGCCGTGGCAAGTACGGTGCTATCTATCTATCTATCTATCTAACCATCTATCTAACCAACTATCCATTTATCTATATGTACATGGATATCCGCCACGTATGATTCCCGTCATGTGCTAATTTCCTTGTGTCCTCTCGCAGCCAAGTGCTTTGGCTGTTTGTGGCTGGGGGCCGGTGGTAAGCTGGTGGGAGCGTTCTTGGAGGGCGGCTCAGCAGACGATGCTGCGGTACTTAAGGCGGCGGTGGCGGGACGGCTGACGATTCCGACGGAGGAGGGCGGCCTGGGAGCGGCTGCCGGCAGCGGCGCTGCGGTTGTGGCGCAGCTCAAGGCCAAGCTGTGACTGCAGGATAAGCTGTGAAGCTCCTGTTCCGTCTTGAGCCTAGTTAGGCTGCTGATGGGGAGGTCGTGGCGGCACTCGTGCTTGTGTGTGGCGCTCGGTGTGCTACCGCTGATGCGTATGCAAGTTAAAAAATTGTTTGCATGCATGTATGTATGTGTGAACGTGCTTAAGTTTATGGCATGGTGTGAGCCGAATACAGTAGTATGCTATGTTATAATTCCATTTTCTCTCTTGACCACTATTGGAGGGGACTTGCGTGACGCAGCAAATGGTATGTATGTGACCTGGGTGCGAGGTAGGATGGTGCTTATAGGCGATCTGGCAGCCCTTGAGCCCTCGGCTCGTATTAGGGTGGTTTGCAGGTACGGGGAACGCACCCACGACCATGTAACAACAACATATGTGACCTAAACTGCGGACGGGCGGAGATGATGTAACAAAACAGGTGTGTGTGGGAGGGGGGAGAAAAGGAAAATCGTGAAAAAAGGAAAGAAAAAAGGACCGTGCTGCCGCCAACTCGCCAGGTTGGGAGGGGGAGGTTATGCCGTTATGACCTGTCGCGCTGTCGTGGTGTTGCTGTGGGTTTCTCGTACTCCCATCCCATTTTACCGGGGCCCCTTGCAGGACCCGGCGCAGATTGCACCGACTGAGTTCGCTTGGAAAGTTTATTGTAACGGCACAGCAAGTCATGAACCTGCGGTGGCTCGACTCGCATAATAAACGGTATACAGCACACATGTTGCTGTGCTGCCGAGTGTCCGCACTTTGCATATCAATAAAAATATTTGGCAGTTCATCTAAGTGCGATTTGAGCGGAGACCACCATCTGCCGGCGCTTGATTCATTTTTCACAGAATCCCCTAGCACAGCAGGGGCGATCGTATGCGGGGCGGTAGAGGATCAACAGTACAGTACAGTTGGTAGTACAGTTGGTTGATCCTAGGGCAGTTGAGGCGTGCATGGTATCGTGCCGACCTGCAAGGCATCCCCGTCCACACACACGGCAGACGTAGGACTGGACAATGCTAATGCGATGGTGATGGGAATTATTCGTTATTCCCATATCAACCATAACGATGATCACCACCATAACGATATTCCGATGGAAAGGGACGGTGGGGTGTCTATAGGCCCTCTTTCTACTGCTAAATGCGTTGAATGCCCTGACAGATTCCTGTTGACCTCGTGCGCCCAACACCAACACGGCGGCCCTGATGCTCATGATGTCCTGCACTGGCCTGTCCATTGGGGTTTGTTGAAGGTTTGACAGAGAGGAGCGGATGTTTGCTCCAAGGGGCATGGTGGCGCTCAAGCATGTTGTGGTCCACATTGTAGCGGTGTCTTGCGCACCGCACTCATCAAGACTGGCGGTCTCAGCTCTCAATTTTCCATCGACGTGGAAGTAGAAGTAGCAGCTATTTGGAAAGCTGGCCCGCGCGTTCTGATTATAAATTGCTGTTGTTGGCATAGCTGGCATGAACTTGGCCAAAACACAACCTTCAATGGTTCAGCTCTTCTTTGCTTCGTTAAACAGCCAAAACCGTGGAAATGACTAGGGGGGATTCCAGCAAGCCTGCTTTGTGGTATGTTCCTGACGTCCATGTGCCTCTGATAGGCTTGCTGCTGAAATTGCTTATTATCTGCGCCATATCTCCTTACCCTTGACTACGGGCCTGATGGTGTTCTAGGAGGCAAAGGCTGCAATCAGTACTCTGCAGCGGGTCTGGTAACCCTTGTCACCGTACCAATGCGACGGAGCATAATGGTACCATGTATCCATATTAGAGTCATTTGTCACAACAAGGCAAGTACGTGATTGTGCCACACATACATGATGGATAAAGGTTGCCTTGCGGTGTTGCTGATTCCATGCGCCTTGCGTCTGGAGACACCATGAGCGAATACGTTTGCTTTGGCGACGCTCTAGCCCGCATCCCAGTCCTTGCAGATTGCATCATAATGCTATGTTTTACTACTCGTTGCGTGTAGCTAATGACCAGCATACTTAGGGGACTCCTGCTGGACTAGGTTGGTTAGCGCGCGCGAAGACGTGACAGCACTTGCATCTTCTTGTCCGACGACTCAGTTGCTTTATTATGGTCGACCAGCTGCAAAGAATTTCGGCAGGGGGTTCAAGGAGTAAGTAGTCCTCCAACCGACAGCTCCAATTTGCGCAGCACCCGCAGCATGCATGCAAGAAACCAGCGAGAGTGATGTCTTGTTGTTCTATTTCCTGAGCTCATAATAAATTATCTTTATTTTCTTGGGACGCATGTAGCTCACAGGCTGGTTAAGTTGTGAACAACCTTGTCCTGAGCAAGGAACCTCCCCGATACAGGCCATGGACGCCGTCTTCTAGCTGCGCATAATGAGAAGAACATATGCAGGAAATCTGCTGGTACGTTTTCACGTATCAGTTGAAGTGCTCGTTCGACTATCCCAACGTGATGACGGTTTCACGTATCGAAGCTCCCGTCTATGTGCCCTCCCAGGAACTGGCGTGAATCCAGCATATCGCAATACAGGTCAGGTCAATTCGGTCCTGCCCTTCCCGGTGCTTGTGCCTCCTGCAAGTCCCGCGGTCCCCACCATGCCAAGGCGAGACGGCGCTGGAGGCAACCGGGATGGCAACGCAGCACGTGGTGAGGAAGCAACCGTAATTTGCGTTCAGCCCTAGCTGCACCATAACTAGAGTCTTGGATCTGACGCATACACAAACGTCGACGTTGGCCCGCAGGCGCACCTGATCCGTACGCGTTAGAGGATGACGACGAGGAAGACGAGAACAGCAATCCCGCCAAACCGTCTAGCAAGGGAATCGGCGTGACCGTTGGCAAGCGGCTCGTGTTGGGCGGGAGCGAAGCCAAGAAGCAGACCCAGCTTCCCATGCTTTTTTCCCAGGAGCACAAGGTGCGGGATCTGATCGACAGAAAGCGCCGTTGCCTATACACCGGAAGGGAGGATCCTGCACGGTATTTGCCATGATGATATGTCTTCCTAGGGAGGGTCCTTTTTGGGATAGCAAACACGTGTCGCAGGTTGCCCAATCACGATTAGCACTAACACTAGGGAACCGCCCGGATAATTCGCCCAGACGCATCACCCAGGTTCCCTTGCCTTCGTTGTTTGATATGCCAGCTGAACTCTGAGCTTTCGAGCGCTGCGTATTCTTTCTTTCTTCCAAAAAGTGCACTCGCGTTGCTGTCGAGCCGCCGCCGCCTGGCACCGTGTGGCCAGCGGGATTTACGCGCTGTGCAATATGGTTGCGCACCCAGGCTCGTGCTGTATTTTGCTCTCCCGCAGAAACTGCAAGCTGCACGCTTGGTCCCGGCGGGTATGGTCAACCTTGGTAACACCTGCTACCTTAATTCAGTGGTCCAGGTGCGAGAGAACGGATGTGCCTGGCTGTGCAGCCCACGATGACCGCGTTTTAAAAGGGTCGTTATAGAGGAAGTCCGCTCTGGAGTGAAATTGGTAACGGTGGAAGCGTGTTCCTGTCCAGCTGTTCAAGGGGTTAGGGAAACAAAGCCTGGGGCTTGGCTTTGGAGGGACTGTTGGATGGGGATTCGCGTGCGTGGGGGTGGATTGCTGCTGCTGCGCGTATTATTAGTTAGAGAGGCGTTCACTATGGGTTGAGCACATAGGGAACATAGTAGGACGGAGCGCGTCGGGTTCAAATTACCACGCTGATCACATTCGTGCTGGACATGTTTTCGAGGACGGAGGCGTGGGAAACAATCCTGACCCAGATCGTAACGTGGACTGGCTCGGAGCCTGATCGTTGGACAGCCCGTGTCCTGCAGCTTTGACGATGCGTCCAGGTCTGTGATCGACCCACATCCTTGACTTCGCCTGCCGTGTTACATTCAGTCTGACCCAAGGACGGCATTGGGCGTCCCCAAAAGCCATGCGACGCGGCCGGCCATGTCTCTGCGTGCTGATTGCAGCCTAACAGAATTGGCATGTTGGTTACGCAACAAGCTAAATACCATCCTCGTCCCCTAGCGTCTATCGTCAATTGCGTTCTATTCACACTGCCATCTTCCCTTGGGGGTTCCACTCCAACAGGTCCTGATGAACATGGCCACCTTCACAGGGGATCTCAGGGACCCCTCCCTGCTGAGCTTGGCCCAGCACCTGCCGGCAGCAGGCGTGTGGGCGGCGCTTCGGGCCACCGCCGACAAGCTGCAAACGGCAACGCAAGCGTAAGTTGCGTGTACGTGGGGCCAAAGCTACGTTCGATGCCTGTGCCTTTTAACGAGGCTGAGCGCATTAGTTTTGGTTGGCAAATGAGTATTCGTAGCTAGTGCGTTCCTATCATGTTGCTTTTACATTTGGGTTCGCTTGTGGATGAGGCCCCAATAGTTATTTGCGCACGCAAACCGGGGCTATGCAGCCTAATAAAGCCATTTTAACCGAGTCAATTCATCGCGTCACAGTGCTTCAGCGTAACGGTTGTCGCCCCTTTGTCGCTTAGGAGGGAGGGCTCAGCACATGGTTTACCCGGGGGGTTTATGACACCCGGGGGGCCCCAACCGCTGCCTCGTCATGTCCCTGTTCACTCTGCGCGCTGCCTGGCATGCATACAGGCGCCCGACGTTCGAGAGCTTGAAGCCCGCCGTGGAGCCTTCAGAGCTCCGGAGCGCCATGGGCCGCCGCAGTAGCCGCTGGCGAAGCTTCTCTCAGCAAGACGCCCACGAGTTCCTGGTGGAGCTGTTGGAGGAGCTGCAGAGCGAGGTGCTGGCGGCCGAGGTGAGGGGGCGCTAATCGCTAATGTTTCAACTCTTAAATGAGGTAGGAAAGAAGCAGGAAGAAAGGAAGACGCGCTGAGGGATCATCGTCAGGAGAACGAGAAGCGTAGGGGGTCCCGTGCTTTGGGCCGACGACCAGGGGAGCGGGACAGGCGTTGATTCATCTGCAAGACAAGGGGAATTTTTCGGGGATGCATGGGAGTTTGCAAGGACACTCAGGAACTGCTGTTACCACGTCGTCCATCTGGATTTGTCTGGAACTGGGTCGGTTTTTCCTGGCTGAATCTCCTCCCACCAGGCCGCTGCATTTGACCGTCGCCGAATGCCGTTCTCGAAGACGCGCTGTCCCACTGCACGAAACCTAAGCGGCAGCCTCATGCACACATGGACCTGCGCCGCCTGCGGACGCTGCACACGAGCCAAGGAGCCGTTCAGTTGCCTGAGTTTGCAGCTGCCTTCGCAAGGGGCTGTGAACCTGCAGGTGGGGCGCTGGCTGCGGATATAGGAAAGAGAGAGAGCTGCCGATTGTGGGGTGTGGACACGTATTTGGTGCTTTCGTGCTTGCGGGAGTACCATGGGGACGTTCATGCGTCTGCTGTGGCGCAGCATCTTCAAGATAAAGGATTGCATATGGGTAGCCTTGCTCTTGGCGCGCTATGCCAGTTATAGTGTCAAGTTGCAAGCTATCCGCCCGGAATGGGGACGCCATGTCCGGTGTATTGTATTGAGAGCGCGTTGTTGCCTTGACTTTCCTAATCCTGCCGCGTGGCGACGCATCACCAAGGCTTTTGCATTCGCGAAGACACATGTATGTTTGTCCTTGTGGAATGATGCTGCGCTCAAGCCATCGTTACCTTCACCCTACCGCGCTAAAATTCCTCTCCACTGCCCCTATTACAACACACACGCACACAACCCTGCTCCCACCTGGGGCCTGGTTGGAAACCGCCTTTGACCAATTGGCGCTTCAGGATCTGTTCTCCGAATACCTGAAGGTAAGCATGGCCGAAGGAGCGAATGTGGCTTTCGGGCTTTCCTGCGGTCCTGCTGCTCTCGCAAGTGCAGCTTTGGTGTGGCATCACTCGTGCGCCTCTGGTAGGAACTAGTAAGAAACGACGGATAAGCTGGTCAGGGCATTGGCCCTTTCAGAGTCAAAAGGCTGGCGAAGGTTAAGGCAGGGAAGGTGCATGCGGGCCTGTGTCCGGGGTGGAAGCAGTGCATTAAGTGTCGGCTATGTTTTCTTTGTTACGAGCTCGCTTCTCCCTTGGTGATGTTGTGTATGCGGTGCAGGACGAGAACATCGACAAAAATTGCGACGGGTGCTCGCCTTCGGCGCCCGTGCCCCACACCGTGCAGCACCACTTCTGGCGGCTCCCGCGGGTTCTAGTGGTGCACATCAAGCGCTTTATGTCGGTGCCGCAGCAGCAAACCCAACAGCAGCAGCAGCAAGCGCTACCGCCGGCTCCGCTGCGGCAGGGAACAACAGTAGGCGGGGATGCTGCTGCATCGGGTTCGCGTGCAGCAAACCTCTTGGAGGATGAGGCGGAGGGTACGACAGCCCCACCGGCGAACGTTATCAACGTGCCAGGAACGCCTTGCCGCGAGGGCTCTGCGGGTGCTGGTGAGCCTGCAGGGGCTGCGGAGGGTGCTCCCAGCGCACCGCAGCCGGCGGCGGCAGCCGGCGGCGGCACCCGCGGTTCGACGCCACCGGCGCCGTACCTTTATGCCAAGGTACTTGACGCGCTTTTTCGCTATGCGCTGCGTTGACAGCAACTCAGGTTTACCTGCACTAGGTAGAGGATGGCGTGGGGGCACGAGGAAAGAATCCTTAAATATTTGTCCAAGCTATATGACGTATTGGCCGAAACATGCAACGGTATGTAGCGAGGACGAGTCGACCTGAATTCCACACCATGTATACAATAAAAGCATGTCAGTTAGGGAGCCCATGTGTAAGGGAGGTCCGGGTGATGTGGTGAAGTCAGGCAAGGCATGGCCACGGTGCTCGTGCGGCCACGATCCTCCATGTTCGGTTGTAAGAGGTCAAGCAAGGTGCATCATGGCGGTGATGTTGCGCATTGCTAAATGGCGCTCCGCAGCCTTTTAGGGCGCAGCTGTCTTTAAGGACCGTATGGGCGCTTCCCTGCAATATGTCGGGTTTACAATCTGGATTTCCGCCCTTCATGTCTTGCATTCTTTATCTATCCTTGCATCTTCCTTGCGGTTCTCCCGGTCGGCTTAATTCCCTCACCTACAGGTCCACACGGTAGTCAAGGTGACGGCGGGGCTGGACCTAGCGCGCCACTGTGACGCCGAGGCATGCGCACACGCACACCTGCTGGAGGCGCTGTCACTGGGGACATGTAAGCCTGAGTCGTGGGTGCGGCTGTGGCTGCGGCTGTGGGTTACTGCAGCAGTGCTTAGGCTTAAGGAACTAGGCCTAATAGGCTGCGCTAGGGTTGACAGGGCGTGGCTGTTAGGCTGGATACAAACGGCTGGTATTATATGGTCGGTGATAGGTTCGGTGGCCCCCTTTCTTACGCCAAAACTACCGTATCATTCCTTGCATGCTATGCCATTGCTCCGCATCCCTTGCGCCTGCACACGTACAGTGGAGCGGAAGACTGGCGGCGATAGTGATGAGGGCGGCGCGGCGGCGGGAGTAAGTCCTGCAGCACTGTCTGGGGGCCGCGCGGCGCCAGCGGCAGGGGCAGCAGCTGGTGCCAGCGGTGCCGCTACTGTGGGCAGGGCCCCTGGCGCAGTGACGGGATGTACATTGGACACTGCGGGGGCCGGCTCCACTTGCCCCAGCCCCTCCTTTATGCAGCCCAACGCTTCCGCTCTGCAGGAGCGCACGGTGCAGCAGCAGGGGTCCGCGCTGCCGCCAAGGGAAAGCCTGCGGCGATCCATATTCGGCGGCTCCAAGGCGATGACCCCAGGGGGCCTCAGGCTACGCGCGCCGGATAGTGAATGCGGGACGAGTGCCCTGAGCACGGGTGCCCAAGCGGATGGCGGCGATGGAGCGCCGACACCGTACGGCGGCTGTGGTGCTGGCACAGGCGCTGCATGCTCGCTTGGGCGGCAAGCCGCACAGGGGAAAGGGCGCTCACAGATGGGAGCGGCTGGCGGCGGCGCCGCTGGGCTGACGCCGGCACAAGAAGCGCAGGGAGCTGGGCCAGGCGGCGCGGCTGCAAGGAAGCCCGAGGCTGGTCATGGGAGCACGCCGCAGGCTCTGATGCGGTCGGGGGGAAAGGACGGGGGACTAGGGAAATTGACTTGCCAGTTGACGACACCCATGGCTGCCTCCTTGGGCGGCGGCCTGAGCAGCCATACGGGCAACGACCGGTTTGGTCCGGCGGGCCCGCCGCCTGGCAGCACCGGACGTGGTGGCGGCGGTGGCGGAAGCGCAGCAGCGTGCTCGGAACGTAAGGCACCGCGACCGATGGGCACTGGCTCGTTTTTTGGAACGGGGTCGGCGACAGAGGCGGTGGCGGCGGAGGCCTGCATGTCCGATGGCCAGGGGGCCCCCGCCAACGGCGTTCGTCAGGCTAACGGGGAAGCTCTTGCCAGGCCGTTTAAGCGAATGTGTGTGGACAGCACGACCACCGGGCCCTCGGGCAGGCAAGCAAGGCTCGGTATTCTGTATCCCGTAATCCTGAACTACAATCTTGGTCATGACCATGCTCGGCTTGTGACCGGACTATGACTGAATAGCCGTGGGAAGGAAAGCCGGGGTAATCCTGCCGCCGCCATTGCTCGTCGACAATGCATGAATCACTTCCCACCTGCTGGTGTCACCACCAAGCGGTGCGATAACTCCTTGCAATCGTTTTGAGTATTTGGCTCAGGAAAAGCCGTCCATCTTTGATGCATTGAAATCTTGAGGCCACACTAATACGGATACCTTGCTCTGCGTTTTTGCAAATGCTTTAAGAAACCACACACACACACATGCACACATGAATCGTTAAAACAGGCATGGTCACGTGCCATATTCCGTCGTCCCGTCGTCATGGCATCCCGTCAGGCGCTCCACGGAGGGGTCACGGCCTGCAACGGTGACGGCACAGCGACTAGAGGAAATGACCGAAGAGGAGCAGTTTCAATTGGCGCTGCAGATGAGCCTGGCGGAGGAAGTCGCGGGTGAAGCCGCTGGCAGCGGTGGCAGCGGCAGTGGCGACGTAGGTGCTCGTCAAGGCTCCATGGCTCGGGTTGAGCATGGAGCTACGGCTACGGCTGCTATCACTGCCACCGGCGCGGCTGCGGGCTCCGGCCCTACGGCATCCAGGCGCGGCGCGGCGACGGTCCTGGACCTGTCGCTACCGACGGCCGCAGCCACGGCCCACCCTGGCCGCGTCTGCACCAGCGGCGATAGCGCAGGCGGTGGTGGTGGCGGCGGCGGCAGCAGCAGGGGCGCCTGCAGAAGAGCCAAACAGGATGTTGGGATATGCGAAGAGGAGGGATGCGACAACGAGGACTCCATGATTGAGCTCCAAGACGAAAGTCAGGGATGCTGTGGTGCCAGTCACGGAGGAGGGGGAGATGGAGGACAACCTCGTGACGCTGGCAGGTGAGTGGCTAGCTGAGTGAATGGGCTTCCGAATGGCTGGCTATCTTGAGAATGTAACTGTGTGCTTGGATGAGTGAGGGCGTCGTGTTGCATACGAGCTTGAAAATTGATGAGAGTGCAGAATGGCTGTCCACGCCCCTTGACTTATCCTAGGTGATCCAATTGCTGCCAAGGCTTCTGCGCGACATGTGTCTGACTCCAGTATTCTACATTCCACGGCCCCTCGTTTCGGGCCTGTTATTGCTTCTGTGTGCGCTCCGTTGGCGTCGTGGCGTCCCTAGCTTACGTATGCTGTCGGCAGTTGATTACACCAACTGCATTTCCGCTCGTTACCTGCCTTTTTTCGGTTGTTTCTCTTAATCCCTTATCCAACGAGTTTTCTGTAAAGATCTACGTAGCTAGTTACACATGGCTACGTCCTAAAAACCCTAAACCTGAATCCAGAGGGGTAATAAACATTGCTGCCATGGTCAGAGCCAGGGAGGATCACCGAAGCAGACCTATACCGCAAACGTGGGTGGGCCCCTCGCAATGGCGCAGCAGTCCACTACCACTACCCGATATAACCGAAACGAACTCGAACGCAAACGAATTAGGAAAGTACCTTCTCTCTTGACCACCTGCAGCTTCTATCCCCACGCCAACCGCACCAGTACCGTCCTCCAAAACCTCCTCGTTCGTAACTGCGATATGGTAGCAGAAGACTTTGGCTTTCTTTGCTTAGACTCGCACGCGTCAGAAATCCGATGCGTTATCTCCCGTCGATGCGCCCTTCAGGACCGCCAGTGCGGGGCCTGCGCTGTCGGGCGCAAGCGGCGGCAAGAACGACGGCAACGACACCGACGGCTCCGCAGGACTGCCCTTGCCCGACAGCTCGGAAGAGGGCCCGACGCCCCAAGCTAAGCGCCTGGAACGGCGGCGCGCCCGCAAGCGGCGCATGGCCAAACTCCTTGACCCGGTGGATGTGCTTGACGTCGCGGAATCACCGGCCGTTCCGCCGCAGCGGCACCAACGCCACCGGGCCGGCAGTGGTTTCGGAACTGAGGGCCGCGTGCACGGCGGTCTGCCTGTCGCGTACAGCGTAGACGATGACGACGATGGTACGACGGCATTATCGCCCGTGTCCGGTGGTGGCGGCGGCGGCGGTAAGAAGTGTTTAGCAGCTGGCAAAAGCGGCGGCTTTGGGGATACCTCCGGAGCGGGCGCCACAGGCAAGCGGGACGAAGCGCCCGCGGATGTCGAGATGGCGGAGGAGGACGAGGAATTGGAAAAGGCGAAGCGGTTGAGCCTGGCGACGTTTGAAGCTGAAGAGGAGGAGCGGAAGTTTCAGCTCCACAGCAACGATAGAGGGACATCGCATGGCGCAAACGCAGCCATGGCACACAAGAGGTCAAGAACGGAGGTGGCGTGGGCTCACATGATGGCCCTGCCCGATCTTCCCAATCCTGGCGACGCTGGGGGCCCGGCGGCAGCAGTAGCAACGGAGCCGGCGGCCCGGGATGCGGTGCTGGACGGCGGCTGTAAAACGCCCCCGCGTGGCGGCGTCGGTGACGGTGCCGCAGCCGCCACGATCGGGGCTTCTGAGGCCATCAACAACCCGTTGCCGCCACCTCTTCGGCGGCGCTCAGCGACGGTTAGCACCACCGCTGGCCTCGGCGGCAGCGAGGAAGACGGTTGTCGCAGCGGCGGGATTGACGCGCTAATGGCCGCAGCCGGCCTGGAAACGGCGGGTCACACAGCCACGGGCGCTGCCGCCGCCACCACGGCGCGACGACCGGCATCCGCTCAGCGCCGCAGCAGCGCCGGCGCCACTGCGCACGACGCAACGGGCACCAGTGCGGATCAGTTCAAGTTCGGGTTTGCGCTGCCAGGCTCCGCAGCCGTGACGACGGGGGCTCCGGTGGGCGCTGCGCTGGGGCTGGCGGGTGCTGGCTCCCGGCGCGAGGACCCCCTGGATCTGACAGGCGGCGATGATGACGATCAGGACCTGGCCAAGGCCATCATGCTGAGCCTTCAGGATGTAAGCGCGGCCCAATTGCGATTAGCTTGGGAGGGGAGGGTGGGGCCCGCGAGTTGGAAGCATGAGCTGGGGATCAGTACGGGTCAGCACCACGAAGGTGGGGGGGCCCTAGCTTCAGGATGGAGCTGAAAGCTCGAAGTTTGAACCAAAGTCACGGGTGAAGGTGGACATGGACGTTAACGGGACAACTCTCCTGTAGATGCGCATGGACCAGGGACGCGAGGCAGGATCCTAGACTACTCGAACGGCGTGCTGCATGGCTGGTTAGGCCTTGGAAGCATGCTGTTAACGACGGGGAAAACCTGGAGATGACTCTCGGCACGCATACCACGAATGGGACCGGAGCTAACCCCCTTCACACCCTCCTAGTGTTACACCTAGGTGCCCGTTCCCACATGCCACCTATCTTCAGTACGTGTTCCCGTTCCTTGTCCTGTGTCTGTGATGTGGCTTTTTGCTCCGTGCATGTTTTCGTGCCCCGGGTTGCTGTCCCCTCCACAGCGGCTCTCTGCTTTGGGCGTTTCCCTGAGTGCGCTGTCGCACAGCGCCGGGGATTAAAAGGCCCGGCTCTGCCCGCAGGTACACCCGCAGAACAATGCGATTGGGGACGCTGTTGGCGACGCGGTGCCGCATGAGGTGATGGACCTCGAGGGCATGGACGGCGTTGAAGGGAACGATGTGGAGCCTCTACCGGACAGGCCCAAGGTACAACTGCTTGCCGAGTTGCGAACATATCGCATGGGCAGCCAGGATTTGTGTTCCGGATCGTTGTTGTTAGTTCTGTCCTGACGCCAGTAACGGCTTCGGTGTGGACATACCTTCAGCCTTTGTTCTCTTCATTCTCTTACAGAGAGTTGAGTTGGACTTCGTGTGCTGGATCCGTTTTTCGTCTCGCCGTGCCGTGCCGTGTTGTGGTCAGTGCTGTTGTTGCACCTTGCTTACGCCTTTGGCATCCTCGCGCCTTTACGTTCTTCGTCGGTGCAAAGCGCACGTCCAATGGCCAATTGCCAGGAAGCTGTACTTGGGCTTTGCGTGCTGTAGTATAATCTTGCCCTCGCCACCTAACCCTTCTTTGCACCATCAGGTCCTCCTCGTACCCGACAGCGATTACGAAGAGGGCACTGACGATGATGACGGCGACGAGGAGGGCAAGGACGGTGGAAGCGGCAACGTGGCGGCTGCTGGGTCACGCACAGCAGCAGCTGGCAGGTCCCGCTCGACGGTGGCGGCAATGGAGGGCGTCCAGACGACGACCCATGAGTCGCAACAACAGCAGCGGCGCCTTCAGAGCAAGGGCGATCCAGGCCAGGCGGTCGCGAGCGTGCCACTGAGCCTGATGGCGCGCTACCGCCTGCAGGGCGTCGTACGGCACAAAGGTCTTACGCCGTTCTCAGGGCACTATGTGGCGGATGTGTTGGTGCGCAGCACCGCCGGCGGCGCGTCGGGGCAGGTAGGAAAGTGGGGAGCTGATATGGCAGGACTGAATACAATTTGCAAGGAAGGAGCGGACGTTTAGATGCCGGTTGAAAGCTGGTTGCCGTTTAACTTTTGTGGTGCAACACGGGCGTGCCAGTCGATAGCGTGTGTGCAGCAGTCCTTGCCCACCCACACGACCGCCTTAAGATTGGGAAGGCAAGGCAACCGCATGTGCTTGAGCCTCAGCCTGTATGTATGTATGTATAAGCACAGGCCATTAATAGTTGGTCAAAGGCCCACTAAGTGTGAAAGATAATTGGGGCTATGCGCACAACTGCACGTTGACTGTGGGTGGATTGAGCGGACATGGGGACATTCCAACATGCTCCCTTTCAACGAGGACGCAAGCCGATACAGACGTCCTTAAAGGCCTGACGGTCCTCAGGCTTAAGAGTAATGGCGAACTGCAGTCCGCCGTACATCCGATGATACGAACTTGCCTGTGCCATGTGTCATTTTTTGGAGACGTTCGCTATTACCATTTATGCCGCGCCGGAGGGTGAGCATTTATCACCATCCGGCTTTCTATGGGAGAATAGCTCGACTAAACACCACCGTCAATCCGCCCGCATCCGCCTCGTGTTCTATGTTTTCCCTCCAGCCGACCCACATGTGGTACGAGCACAACGACGCGGTAGTGAGCCACGTGGATTTCGACCGCATTCGGGAGGACGCCTCAAAGCAGGGCTACCTGTTCTTTTTCGTCAACGCTTCCAAGCTGGCCGGCCCCGTGCCAGCAGCAGCAGCAGTGGCGGCGGCGGCGGCTAAGCCGCTACCGGATGCCTTGGCAGGTGGCGCGGCAGCCTGAAAGGCTGTCACGTGCTTCATGTGCGTACATTATATCGCTAGCAATAGTACGGGTCACCGCTAGCATATGAGATATGACCTTAATACTTTTGCATAGGTTTGGCCGGTTGGGGGGCCCGCCGCTAGCCAACCCGGCATTTGATCGGCGCCTATTCGAAAGGCGCCATTGCAGGATGTCAGCGTGCAGCAGTGGTGGTGACGTGCGTTTGGCTACGGCATTTTTGAGAAATTCTCACTAGACCGTGGGAAGAGACTACTGAAAACGACGGCATGGGGCTTCTACTCGGATTTGTCATTTTGTAGCAGTGGTCATTATGTGTTGCTTGCGGTCGTGTTTGTAGTTAGACGTGTAGGTGCAACAACTTAACGTAACGCTGCGAAGAACAAGGCAGCACCTTCCGGGGGCGGGAATGAAAAAAGGGGGCGGGCTGAGGCTGGTAGTGTGGGCAACATGGGCTTGGCGACATTATTTTTTGGCAAAAGAAGACACAATTCGCATGCACACTGGAACGACAAGGTGTGGAAAATAGTTGCTGTGAGCGGCTTGGAATAACAGTGTGACAGCTTATCGGTGTTATGTTTTCTCATTCTGTCACGTCGCTCAGAAGGCGCATTGCGCAGTCCTGGCCTAGGTTCTTCCTGCACGCTGCTCATCGTTACTCCCTGCTATAGCTAAAAGAGCATAATAGGAGGTATGAATGGAGAAGAGGGCTTGGGCCGGCAGCTCGTGGCTATTTGCTGGCATATTGTATATGTGAGTGTGCACCGTGCAGCAATACCAGGCTGCGTACCAACAAAGCGGAATGGCTCGACAGCGCATAGAGTGGCAAAGGGCGCAGCGGTCGTGTACAATCCTCGTGGGGCGCGCCCATTCAGGCTTGTCTTTTTTCTACTGTTCTTCTACTCAACGTCGCTAGTGCTGAGGGTATGAGGCAGGAGAATATGAAACAATCAATATAGCAACAATCAATATAGTCGGTGGCAAGGTCCCATCCAGGAGGGCAGAATGCTTGGTCAATGTGCATTGTCCATCGTAGGTTGGGCAAGATACAAGACTGGTGTGCGATTGGTAGCACAGCTGCAGCAGATGGCCGTTGTGAAGCTGTGGATGGATACATCATCCTCATAAAAGGTACAGATTGCATGGCTATTCGATGACGTGTCCCCGTGTAGAGTTTGTCGCGTGCTGCACGGATACATTGCCGTTACTTATTGGGCCAAAGCGATAATGAGGCCGTGGATGCAGACGTCACCCGTGCTCATGAACTATATCAGAAGGTCACTAGGCACGAGGAATGTTAAGAAGTCTATTCCTTCGGGCCTTACGCCCAACTAACCCAGCTTACTTAACGCAAGCTCGCATGAAACACAGTCCCCTTCGCAAAGGTAACCCTGTTTCAAAAAAGGTAAACAAGTGAGGCCCAGTTAAGGTGGAGGGCTAGTGACCAAGCTCCTAAACAATGCCAGATTGTCCGGTATCCTCCCTAACCTAGAGAGATGCTTCAGGAACGTGCGTTGCAGCTCGACAATGCGCGGACCGCCCATGCGCGTCGCGTGGTCGTTCAACGACCTGGAAGTTAAAACTGCGGTCCCCACAACCCACCTCCATACGACAGGTGATTGCACTTCAAAACTTGAGCGCTATCTTAGGCAGAAACAGTTCCTTCCTACGCGTCTACTGCATAAACTATTTCGCTGCACGAAGAGCTAAGGTACGCCTTGTTGGACGTGCTCGTTGTTCCTGTTGCTCCTAACAAACGGGCACCCTGCTTGTCGGATACATGAGTACTAACAGCCCTGCCAAAACCACGTATGGATATGCTAAAAAAGCACGGGTAAAGATACACAAAGCAGAAGACGCCGGCGTAATTGTTGTATACGCAGAGTCGGTGATCAACAGGCCAAGGCATCATGTACGGGACGGTCTTGTTCAGCAGGCCAAGGCATCATGCAACGTAAACAACATGGTTTATTGCGCATGTGGTTTGGGGACGGTCTTGCCAATCATGTTGCGGTTTTGTGGATTGCTTGGATTTGCTTTCCTCCTTTCTAAGGGCAATCTTGTCGTGCGCAATGTTTGGCACCCCCGCAGGCATAGCAGCTTGCGGCTTCGACACGCCGCAACGTAACAGAGTTTGTTTCCCGTCAACTCGCTTCATGTTTTTCAGCATTTGGCGGGAAATGCTTGGTGGGAATGTTACCAATTGCAACAATAGAGTTCTCAATATCTTTCCCCCGGGCCTACTCTTCAGACCATGCATGCCACCATATTCGCCGAAAGATAACCGCAGGACTGTGGAAATCCAAACATGACGTTGGCATCCCGGCAGACAGCTGTATATCCCAGCATACACTTATCTATTGTAAATACCAGTCGACGCCTCTCAGTATTGTTAACATCAAATATGTATATCAAAATCCTAAGTAATTACGCATGACAGCCAAGTGAGCAGAGCTTCATCTCTAAAAAGCTAGAAACTTATAGGGTAACGCCGTACTGTTCCCGGATGTGGGAGAGTAACATAGGCTGCTTAACAATGTCCTGCTGTGATCGTTCTATTTAGGTTAACTTGTGGGTGGATCTTGGTCCAGTTCACGGAGACGTGCAAGGCTTGCTGGTGCAAGTGACTTTTTTATACCTGAAGGTTAGCATTGAAGCTGTTGGATTCAATTGGTTAGACTTCCGATTGACTCACCCTACTCAGCACCCAATTTGAAGATGCATGGCACGATGAGCGTGGCTGGCCGCAACATCGCCACAAGAGGTGTACCTGTGGGCGTTGCCGTTCATGCGCCATCAGTGAGGACAACAATCTTTCAACGGCGACACGCTCGATCCATTACTCGCACTGCCGTGGTGGCTGCTGATGCAGCAGCCGTGGATGATGCAACCCAGAAGGAAACGCCACCCAAGACAGCTGCACCAGTAAACGTTGATGCAACCTCCCTCAACAGCAAACAATCCAAACGCTCTAATCAGCGGAAAGATAACAAGGAAGGGGCAGACGACAGGAATGGCAAGGACATCAGCTCGCGGCAGCAGCCCAAGGCCCTCGATCGCGCGTTCGTTGAAGAGCGCTCCCGACTGCTGCTTAAGGGTGAAGCTGTGGGCCTGACTATGAACCCAACGCCAGTAGATTTCTCTGCTGCCTTCAAGGGCCTGCGACCGCTTTCCAGAACGCTGCGCGATGAGAACCACACGCTGCTTTTTTTCCCTTCCACTCGCCTGGTCAAACCTGAGGATCCAGCGACGACAAGCACTAAGGAAGACTCGTTAGTAAACGAAGATCAGGACCAGCAGCAGCAGCCGCAGCAACCGCGGAGGCGGCAACAGTCAAAACAGGACGGCCCCCGAGTGTTAGAGCTCGCGCTGGTAGCGGTACCTGCCTTCCAGAAGCCCGAGCCCGAGGTTACGATCCGCGTCGGCGCAAAGTGAGTCCCCCTGGTCGTCCTGGTGGGGAAGGATGATGTTGAGCCGAATGGAAGGACGAGGAGGAGGAGAGGATGGGGAGGTTGGTTCGTAATCGGTTGGCTCACATGCAAACGCTGCGAGGGCAGCAGAAGTCCTTAGGAGGGGAGGTGGAGTGGGTGTTTGGGGTAGTCTGTGTCGTGTGAAGGTGTGGGACGTGAGGGGGTGGAAGGGGAGGGGAAAATGCAATGGCAGTCAGAGACAGAGAGAGGCAGTGAGACAGAGATTGCGTTGGGTATGTGTCGGGGCGGCGTTGCGAGTGGCGCCATTCCTATTTGGGTCGATGTGGGTCGATGTGGCTCTTCTTCGATGGCGATTGGAATCAGCTTTGTACGACTCTGGATCCAGATTCATCTGGGTCATTTCGATGTGGGTCGATGTGGGTGCGTTTTGTCTCCACAAGCGTCAAACCCAAATCAGCCACGACGACGCGTCTCAAAACCCCAGCAGCCCTCTCCCTCTCCGCTCTCCCCCCCAAGCCGACTGAGCTTCCGGGGTCGTGATGGTAACGGTGGGAGATGCTGTCGAAGTTCGGACAGGGGGGTGGGGGCCGGGGGTGGGGGTGGCCGGCTTTTTTGTGCTTTTTTGTGTATATTCATCTTCAGCCCCCTTCCCTGTCCGCCTTACCTCTCTCTACCCCTTTCCCCCCTCCTCCTCTTCCTCCTCCTCCTCCTCCGCCCCTTTTCCCATGCCCGCTTAAGTATCTCTATATCTTCTTCTTACCCCCGTTCCCGCCGCACACGACCCGCCGTACACCGTCCGACCGGGCGCTTTTGTATACATATGTAATGTAATGTAATGTATACATATGTCATGCAGGTCAAAGCCAGACGTCATTGCCCGGACTCTCACCCGCGAGCTGTTGCGCTCCAGCTCCGTTGCCGTCCGTGCCGCCGGGCCATCGGCGGCGCTGGTGGCGCTGCAGGCCGCTGCCCAGGCCCGTCGCGCTATCGGCGCTGAGCAGCAGCTGGACCTGGCCTTCAGCATCGAATACCTCCGAGTGCCCGCCCATGGTGCGTGGGTTTTATTGGTTATCGGTTGAAGAACTGTTGATGTTGGCAACGATTAATCGTTGGGGTCGTTAAGTCCACCTTCACCATCACGACCACCACCATTCAAACCGGCAGAAGGCTTTTGAAAGGGAGGGAGGCAAAATGAAATTCAGCGCTGGAAAACCCTGAGGTCGCCCCTAACAGCCTTCAAACCCTGGGCCCGATTCTAAGCCTCGCCCTCCCTCCTCAAAACTTGGTCAGTTCTACGTCTGGTAAGCTGCTTGCCCTGGCAGCAGCTTCACTCGTTCGTGGTTCGCCTTTCCCCCCTCAAAAGTCCAATCGTAATGTTCTTGAATGTTCGTCTTTCCCTCTTCTGACGACCGGCCATCGGTCTTGTTAGGAGCCGACAAACCAGCAGCTGAGGACGAGCAAGAAGTGGACGCGTCAGCTGCCGCCGCCGCCGCCGTCGCCGCCGCTACCTCTGCCGCCACTGCCGCCATCGCCGCCGCCGCCGCCGCAGCAGCAGCCCCTGCATCTGCA